CCACTGCGGGTGACTCGCCTGGCCCTGAGCCCCCGAGGCAGAGCCCACGTGCCTGCTCAGCTAGGGCCCGCGCCACGCCAGCCCTGCCCTGCCAACAGTGTCATTAGCACGGCTGATGCTGCCACGAGGATCCTCAGGTGTCCCCAGACCCGAGAGGGAGTTGGTGATTCTGCAGTGCTCAGCAGAGGCCTGGGCCTGGGTTTCGGGTCTGAGCGGACCATGCGGATGGAGTCAGGTGACATGGCCCTCATCTGTTCCTGTCACCACAGCCACCAGCCTTGTGGGAGCCGGGGTACCTTGCTTTCTTACGACTGCTGAGTCAGAACCCTGAGGTCCACCCCAAGCTGCCGAGAGGCCCAGGATCCAGTCTTCGGTTCTAGAGGCAACAGAAAGGGTTTGGAGTTTCCCAGGAGACCCCACGGAAGGAAGTCAGTATAAGAAGCTGAGACCACTTGTCTGTCTCAAGTTCTGACCTCTACTACAGCACCAGTATACGAGTGCCCAGTAGATGTTTGATGAATGAATGAATGAAAACTTTGGATCCCGGCTTGGCTTCCTGGGGCTTCACTATGTCAATTTGGGCAAGTCATTGAACCTCTCTGAGCCTTGGTTTACCCAGCTGGAAAAAAGAAGAGTGTGGCCAGGTAGTCTCAGGGGACCCCCCAGCCCAAAGTTGGAGGATTCTGAGGAGCAGGTAGAACTGCTCCAGTGGTGCCCAGGGGTACTTGGAGCAGAGAATGGCCACATGGCTGAGGGTCTGGAGAACCGGGCTCCACGACCCCCCTGCCTTCTCCCAGGCTGTCTTAGGGAAGTTATTTGTTCGCTACCAGGAGTCCAACTTGCACCCTCACACTGTCAGGCAGGCGCTGTTCCGCTGAGCTACATCCCCAGCCCTACTTTAGGTAAGTTGCGGCAAGGCCCATGTACATTGGGGGAGGGTCCACAGCTGGAGTCAGCAGTCACAGGAGCCGCGAAAACCACTCTGGCTGGTCACAGCAGCTGACTTCCGTGCCCGTGCGGCGCGAAGCTCCCCAGGGCCTGGGTTGCTTATCTTTTCAAGGACCCAGTGACCTCCCAGACAGAGCTCAGCCCCACAGCTGTGCTCACGTGCCGGTCCACACCAGTCAAGGCTGAAGTCCCAAACTAATGGCACAAGGGCCAGCTGGGGCCAAGAGCACCCACAGTGCTTTGCGTCATAAGGGCCACAGGCTTTTGGTTAGACAAAGCAGGCTGGGTCCCCTTGGTCACAGTTGTCACCCCCTGTTGTGTCAACCCTGGCAATGCCACACATGTACAACAGATGCCCCTTAAAGGCATTTTAGAAATGGATCTAGCTCACCATCCATTTATGAGCAGGAAATTGGGGGCTGGGAGTGCTCAGAGAACCCTGGGTACCCAGACTCCCCAAGATTGGAAGAGCCTTGGAGATCCCCAGGGGCGCCCTGTCAGATCTAGCCGTGTTTCCTCCGGGGAGGTCCTCTTTGTTACCCTGTCCAAAAGAGGCCCCATGCTCCATGCCCTTCAGGTTTTCCTCCTCCTCCCCACTGTGCCATCAAGGCTGTGCCCTCCCGCCTTACTCCCTGGCTCCTTGCTGCTCTGCACGCTCTCTGAAGACAGGGCCATGGCTGTCTGTCCCTGCTGTGTGTCCCCAGCCTGGTGTGTGATGACACGTGTTCCCAAAACCGCTCAGGGAGAGAGAGAATGAGGCCAGGTCCCGACAGCCTCCCCGCTGTCATTTCCCTGGGTTGTTCAGGGACGTCCTGGAGTCATCTGAGAGTCCCACAGTCCCCGGGCAGCTGGCAGGTGTCCTCTGCACGGGGACAGGGACAGGCTCAGCGCCTCCCAGCTGGCTTTTCCATCTGCCAGAGCGGAGGGGGCAGTGATGTCATGTCCCCCCCCCCCGACTTCCCCCAGGTTGAACCCGTCAGGCCTGGAGTCCCGAGTTCAAAGAGACCACAGATGGGTGCACAGGATGTGCCTGAGTGAGCTGTGGGCAGGGCAGGGGCCCGGGCAGGTCACGGAGTCTCCAGGAAATATTCTCAGGGCTGACAGGAAGAGAAAGGGGGGCAGAGCGGCCGCGGTGGGCGGGGGAGTGCGGGCAAGAGGAGGAAGCTCTTATTTCCCTCAAAGGGAGAAGCCCAAAGCTGCTTGTAATCCCCCTGACACTGTTGCTCATGGTGACAACTCAAACGGCTCACAAAGGCTGGAGGAGGGAGGTCAGGAGCGCGAGGTGTCCCTTCTCCCAGGGAGCCCGCTCACAACTGTGAGTCCTCGTGGTCACGATGGCCCGGATGCAGACAGTGTCTGGATCCATCTCCAGCCACAATCTCCGGGAGCGACATTTGATTCCTTCATCTTGAAGGCGAGATACAGGCAGCTTCCTTCTGGCCTCTCTACCGCCCCTCCGCACCCTCCTGGCCTCCCTTCCCTTTCCTTCCAGCCCCAAGAATCCATCTTTGGAGGTACCAAGCGGGGGGAGCCTGGCTTCCTGGGCAGCAAAGGCCACCACCACCGCGGCGTGGTCTCTTTGAATTTAGGATTCCAGGCCGCATTGGTATTGGTCACTTAGGACTGTTGTGAAGATTGCTCCCACGTCCTGCCACATGACAAGGGCTGTACCTGTGTCACTGGATCGTGGCCCTGACTGACAGCGTGGGGTGCGGGGCATCACCACCAGCGCTCCCAGCACCATCTTCAAAGACACCAACCTGCCTTCCTCCCTCCGTCCCTCTTTCCCGTCTGTCCATCCGTCTGTCCATCCATCCATCCACCCATCCATCCATCCATCCATCTGTCTGTCCATCTTTCTCAAATGGGAGCACTTACCCTTTATATTACCCCATTACATTACCTGTGACATAGACAGCTTTATCCAATAAATGTTATTAAACAAAGCAACTGAGGTCCTGCAAATGGGGTTCGGGGGAGAGCTTGTGGAAGAGCCGCCCTGAAGTGCTGTTTTGTCCCCTTTCGTGTCCACAGCCTAAACCCAGACTGAGCCCTGTGTCTTCAGGTGTAATGGGCTTTACAGATTGATAATGTTTGCAATCAGATCATTCTAGAAAGATCTTCAAAATAAACAAATAATCAAAGTAGTGTTTATGCCAAGTTTATCTTTCCCATTTCTTAAATAGGAAACAGGTTCTGGAGGCAGGAACTGCGGGCCCCAGCCCCCACCCCGCCATGGGGAGGTCCCTTTTCTTTGACTCTGCCTTTGCTACCTCCCAGATCTGAACGAGGAGACCTGGACGTGAGAGGGTGGCATGGCTGAGGAGGCATGTCTGTGATTCTGTCACCCTGACACTCACTATGAAAGGAACAAGTCCCCTGCTCCTGTCCATCTCCACTTGAGCATCTCATGGACCACTGACAACCCCAACAGAGGATGGCCAGGCTCCCACTCAAAGCCCAAGTTCTCCATTTCTCCAATGACACCATTCTTGTCACTTGGGCTTGGGCTCGGGTTCCAGGCATCCTTGATCCCCAAACCACCCCATGCATCAATCCCTCCACTAATGTCAGCTCTGCCTTCGTGGTGTGTGCAGAATCCAACCACCTCTCACAGCTTCACGGTGACCCCTCTACAGCCGGAAGACCGCAGAACCTCTTGGCACCAATGGCGTGCGGGCTTTACTAGCTTATGTGTCTAGGCGTCTCCCCTAGAACGTCAAGGGCATCAGAGCAGGATGGGGTTTGCTGTGCCCAACAAACACTTGTGAATGAATGAATGGAATTCTACAAAAGCCCACAGCACAGGCTCAGAACCCTCGGCCTTGAGAAGAGAGCTAGAGCTCTTCAGTCCAGCGCTCTGAGCTCCTGGTCACGCTCCCTCCTCTCCAGCTGGTTGAGGGTGCCCACGAAGACTGGTTTCTCCACCACCGGCACCTGTGGTCCCACAGGGCAGGGAGTTAGGTGGACCAAGTTAAGGCTCCACCACTTAGGGGCAGCATGACCCGAGCCATTCTCTCAGCTGTCAAGCAGGGACAGGATTACAGATGCCAGCTTTTCTCTCAGGCCTTGTGCTAAGCCTCTTACACGAAGCTCGTGTCTTCCCACACTGACCCGATGTGACAGGTCCCATGCTTACAGCTGCCATCTTTCACATGGGGAAACTGAGTCATGGGTAGCCCAAACAACTTGATGCTCAATGGTGGCTGTAAGAAGCAGAGCCAGGATTTGAACCCAGACCTCCTTGTCATCATCTTTGAAGATAGTTCTGTATGCACCAACCTGCCTGCCTTCCTCTCTCCCTCGTTCCCATCAGCCCATCCATCCATCCTGCCATCCTTCCCTCTATCCATCCATCCATTCTCCTCCAACAGAAACACACTCGTGTGCTCTTTAGGAACCTACTTTTCATAGTCCCTACTACATTCCGTATGAAAGGGATGGGTTTATGTCAAGAAAATGCTGCTGGATAAAATAACTCAGGTCCTGGTTAACTGGGGCCGGGGAAAGGGTGCTGGAAGAGCCATCCTGGTGTCGCTTTGCTGACACGGTAAACCTGGTGCCTTTAGGTGTGGTGAGCTCACAGCGATCAAATGTGTTGGCAGTAAGATCATTCTTGAGTGAACTTCAAAATCAAAAGTAGCCAAATAAACGTTTATGTCGTTTTTATATTTCCCGCCTGGCTCCACTGTGCTTTAATGCCACCTGGGCTCAGCTGGGAGATATGATCTGCCACCTGCTCAGCTGGCACTGGGCACACGGACAGTCCTCAGAAATGCTGACAGCGTTGGTGTGGGCTCAGACACCAAGAGTCTGCGCAGAGGCAAAGCTACAGGTGGGGGTCGGGGGAGCTCTGGGGAGCCAGGCTCCACCCTGGGCCCCCGAGGAAGCCCCCTTTTCCATTCACCAGGGAGTCTAGAATGCTTCCTTCCCCAGCCTCCAAGAATGACAGCCCACGAGTTAGGAGGACTGGGCGTGGAGCCAGGAGGTGGGGAGAGGCCCAGGCAGGCTGACCAGGTTGCAGGGAGAAATTAAAAGGGAGGAGAAGAGGACCAGCCCAGCAGAACTCACACTCCCTCCCGGTGCCCGGGTGCCTGACAGGAGCTAGGGAGTCGGGGTGTGCAGCTACCGGGTGCCGGAGCTGTCCTCGGAGGTGGGGAGCAGGAGACAGGATGGCCCCAAGGCGAGCCGTGCAGCTGTCCCTGAAGAAGCCCACCTATGCTGTGTGTGTGGTGGGGACTGAGACACTGGTGAACGTCCACAGGTGAGAGCCAAGGACAGCTAAGCAGGTGGCACCCACCTGGCTGCAGAGGGCTGTGCCCTAACGGGGGACCCGAAGCATTGGGGTAGACACACTGCAACCAGCTGGGCTTGTGGGTGGATGAAGAGGTGGTGGAGGCTGTTTGACAGCAGAGACAGAGGAGTTGGCTGCGGAGTGTGAGGAGGAATTAGGGTCTGATCAGGTGCCCCTAGGATCTGGCTCCTGGCACTGGGATTAGGACAGTGGCTTCCAGCTCCTGGACAAGGAAGGGCCCAGCCTCAGGATTCTAACTCTGTGCCCTGGAGCCAGGCCCTGGATTCTGGACTGTGTTCCAACATCCACAGGGAACCTGTCTGCAGCAGCAAGGTGAATTGTTTGGGAGGGGATGAGGACGGGGGCTCCCCTTCTGTTCCTTAATCTCTAGCCAACTCTTCATCTGTCTGTGGTGCGTGCCAGCTTGGTCCTGGAGCCCGGACAGGGGAACCGGGGTGACAGGAATCAGGAAGGAGAGGCTAAGGGATGGCTCAATGATTTAATCTAAGAAGTGAGCCTGGAGCACGGCCAGTGACGTGGGCTTGGCATGAGACCATGCCGATGGCGGTGATGATGGTGGTGGTAATGTGTGGTAGTGACCGTGGTGACATGGGAGGAAGGCCCAGATCTTCCTGTCCTGCCTCTGTCTAGATGAAAACTCAGGGAACATGGCTCAACCTCAGTTTTCCCACCTGGCCACTGAAGGAGTTAGACTTGATGGATTGTGAATTCCATCCCTGTTGGACCAGGTGGCGCTGGGCCCTCTGCAGATGGGAGCTCAGGGTAAGGGTTCAGGGTCGGGGCTCCCCTCCTTCAGGAGCTGGGTGGCTGTGACCAGTGGGAGCTGAGTTCCCATCACCCTCTTGGGTGTCAGCCCCTATACTTGACAAGTAGGTGAATGAGGGCTGCACCCAGCCTCTGATGCAGGAGTCTCCCCTGTCCCTCTCCTGGGCAGTGCCCTGGGTGCCCGGGGATCAGGATGCGGAGGAAGAGCAGGAAGCCCGAGGGCCAGCCCAGGACTCTAAGGCCGAACCAGGTCTACGCAGAGTGGAGTGCGGTTTTCTCTTGTTCTTGCAACAGGGGAGTGAAAAATACGAAATGCCTACTAAAGCATTTCAGATAAAGTATTGAGAGACAGTTCGTATGCACTGAGGTGCTGGAGACCGAACCTCGGGTCTCTTGCGTGCTAAGCAAGCGCCCCACCGTGTCTGCCTCCAGCCCCCAGCCCCTGTCTCAGTGTATCGCATGGGACCCACTTACCTTACAAAACCCCGCTGTTTCCTGGGCCTGCGCTGTGAGCAGACATCCCATATTGCACCTGGCGATCCTACTCTAACGCCCAGGACAGGGGAGGTGTCCTTGAGGCCCCCACCTGTCTGATTCCAGGCCCTGCTCTCTTCCAAGGCCATGCTTGTTTCTGGAACATACTTTGAGAATTTCAGGCCCTTTGCCACGCTGCTGAGGCCCAAAGCATTTGATGGGAAGCCAGGAAATGTCGTTCTGCTTCTCCTGTCACTGACTCACTGTCAAGGCACTGGCCCTCTCTAGGCTCTGCTTTTGAACCCCAAGAGGTCGGCTGAGTCCTCTCTGCAGTTCTGCGTGGAGGTGCATGGCTCTGTGCATGCTGTGTGACCTTGGCCAAGCTGCCGCCCTTCTCTGAGCCCATTTCTGCACTTGGCAAACGGGAAAAGCAATAGCTCTGACCTTAGTGGATCTGGGCGAGAAGAGAGACAATGCACGTATAGAGCCTGTTGTTTGGTGGGTGTCCTGGCAGGGGGAAGTGCTCCTAGCCCTGAGGGCTCTGGGGTGTCTGGGGTTCCGTCTTGCAAGTCTGTTCTTCCCATCACTTCTCTGAAGTGGCAGGGGATGAGGACAGGGCAGGGGATGTGTGGCGGAGCACAGGCAGGGGTCACTGTCTGCAAAGCTCCCTCATGGATACCAGAGCCCTCAGCACACCTGGCAGAGCACCAGGCCAGGTGAGGACTCCGGAAGTGGTTTGGGTGGTGGCAGCAGCCGTCCTCTGCCTGACACTGGGAGGGAGCGAGCCCTTGGAGATCTCCACCTGGGGGTGGGGCACTTGGGTCCTATGCTGGGAGCCCAAACTCTGCGGCACTTGGGGGCTGCCTCCTGCTGGTGAGGGCTGTGCTGGATGGGAGCGGGACCTGGACTTGTCCAGCTGGGAGGGTTTCGAGAAGCCGGAAGCGATGGGCTATGCCTGATGAACTCGGACACCCCATCTGCTTGCCAGGACCCTGGCTGCAGCCTAAGCCAAGAAAGGGGTTTCTAATTGGCCTTGCTAGAAGCAGGAAAGCTACCCAGAGAGGTACACAGTCCCCTGAGCTGCTGGGAGTCTGTGCTCTCTTGGAGACAGGTGTGCAAGTTATGGTCCAGGAAATGACTCACCTGGGGGCCGCATGGACTGGTCATTTGGAGAGATATTTGTGCTTGGGATAATTGTGTGGTCAGGGGCAATCCAGCCTGAGGAAGCCTCAGGGCTGCCCTGATTCAGCTTATGCTCAGCTTCCGCTCCCTTCTTCCACTGCAGCGAGCTAACTCGTCACCCTGACCCTACACCCCAGTGGCCAGCCCCCCACCCTGAGTGCTTCCCCATGAGCTCCCACCACCCTGACTGTTTCCCTCAACAGGCTGCCTCTACCCCAGTCCTCCCCGCAACGGGCTAGCTCTCTACTGAACCCCACACCCCACAAAGCTAGCTGTCCTCCCTGAGCCTTTCTTTCCAAGGGGCTGCCCTCCACCCTTAGCCCCCTGGATATTGCCAGATTGTTCTGGGTGACCCTGTTCCTGCCTGGGGACTTCAGGTTGCCCCCAGGGACTCAAGTCAATAAAGGGGGGCTAGGTACCATGTGGAATCCATTGCTGGTCTGGCGTGGCCCTGAGTCAGGGTTCAAGGCTGGAGGCCACGATGAACATTTGCTTTTTGGGGTGGAGGAGGTAGCCAGGCAGGTGCTGGGTCTTCCTCCTGCAAATCACCCAAGTCTTCCTCAGCCTGCAAAAACAAGATGGCACAACAGACTCCAGCTTGGAGAGTGCTGAGGAGGTGGTGTGTACACGGAGAGGGGCTGCAGGGGGCCCTCACACGAGCCACAGAGGGGCCGGGGCAGGAGCGCTTTTTGGGGCTCCCTGTGTTTCACGGACTGTAGACAGCGGCGTGGCAGGGTTGTACAGTGGGGTGCACGGGGCTACTTCCTTATTGTTTACACTGAGTAAATGAATGTTTTGAATGCAGAATTACAATGAAGCTTAATTGGGCTCCTCTGAAGATAATTATAGGACTAGTGCCGACACTAATTCCTAATTCCCAGTGAGTGACAGGCTGCACGGCCTCGGCGCCAGCTGGGACACCCTCTCCCCTGGCTCCATCCTGCGGCCGGAAGGTCGCCTTTATTGGGCAGTCCTGGTCCAAGCTGGATTTGGAAGGCTCCTGGACACAGGGGCCCGGGGTGAGGACACCTCCTCTTTCACCAGCATGGGGCTCCGGGGTGTCCAACCTGGGCGTTCTCAGGAGTAAGATACAGGTACAGGGCAGGGTCTCAGAGGTCAGCGCCCCACCTCCACCGGTGACCCTGCCTCCCTGCCTCCCTGGACATCATTTCGGACAGGATGGGAGCCCCGCCTTTCCCTCTCCCCCTACACAGTCCTGTGGCTTTGTGGATGGCAGTCTGCAGGTGTCCCCTCATTCTGCTCTCTCCCCTTCCCTTCTCGGGTCCAGTCCCACCCTCTCCCCACCCAGAGGCCCAATCGGCCACATAGCTCTTGCTTTGGCCCCTGGGAGGAGACTTGGGGTTCGAGGAGTGGCAGCAGCCTCCCGCGACCCTGTCCTCTCCGCGTAAATGGAAGTTTCTCACCCTTCTCTGTGGCTGCTCAGCTCTGCCAAGTTGTGCTGCCTAGAGAGGCGGCTAGGATGAATTGAAAACCCACATTACCTGGGAGGGAGCCCCAGCTGTGGGCCAAAAAGGCCGACATCCCGAAGGCCACCATTCTGGGGCACCAGGCCCTTGGGCTGGTGCTGAGGAAGCCCCATTTCCAGATCCACTGTGGTCCAGATCAGAGACCCTGGTCCCTCTGTGCAGGAGCCTAAAGCCACCTAAAGCCCTGCTAAGACGCACCTCACCGTCATTGTCATACCCTCTTGGTCACTTTCATGACCCCGGTGTGTCACCCATCCTTATCCCTCAACCGTAACTCCGGGTCTCAGGCCTGAGCTGGGTGAAGCAGGCACAGAGGGCAGCTGTGGGCTGAGCCTGCCTGGCACCAAATTTGCTGGGCACAGGGGAGCGTGGGCTGGGGCATCCGGACACCAGGGAGGAGGAAGGCAGGTTGTCCTCCAGAGGCATCCCACACTGGGCTCCATGACAACCCGTGTGATGGCTGCTGAAAACAGGATGACTTGTGATCATGACCTCGGGCTGGGGTCAGGCTGGTCCTTGCAAGCTGTGTGGCCTTGGGCCAGCCCTTAGCCTCTCTGAGCCTGTTTTCTTCCACGCTATGTGAGGGTGACATCACTAATTGTTTGTGCATGTTTCCCCCACTGTACAGAAGAGGAATTACCTAACCCACAAGGTGTGGGTGTGCTCTGGAGAGGGGATAAGTGACTCACGGGGCTGCTTTAACCTCACGGTCCTTTCTCTCAGGATACACAGGCCCCCAACCCCTTTCTGCCCCTGCTGAGAAGGCCAGGGAGTGACAACTGTCCCCTTCTACCACCGTGCCTGGGTGGGCAGGGTTCACTGGGTGGAGGCCTGGCCAGTTGACCCTTCTCCTGGGTGTCCTGGGTGTGACCTTCTTGAGAAGTGGCGGTGCTTAAAGCACCCTCCATCAATCGATTGGTATCTGGAAGGAGAAGACACAGTCATGCCCTGGGTGATGCCACACTTGTGAAAAAATGTTTGCCAGGAACACCTTTGAACCCCACTTAGCAGCCAAAAAAACAGACCCAGATAGGTGGAAAG